GCAAAAGCAGGAGAGGATGGCCAGCGGCAGGTAGTCCGGCGAGCGGCCGGCTTCGGGCAGGTTGGAGGTGGTGGCGGTGGACGAGGCGCGCGCCAGGCTGAGCCGCGACGGGGAGAGCGAGGTGGCCTCCAGCGGCCCCTCCGAGCCCGACCGGTAGAGCAGGCCGTGCCCGTTGGGCTCCATCGCCGCCGCTCCGACGGCAGCCGCCCCCGCCACCCCGTCCTCGTCCGGGCAGGGCTTGGGGGGCGACGGGCCGGCCTGCAGCAGCTGCTCCGTCTCCTGCGAGGAGGAGGAAGCGGGCGGCGGCGGGGCGCCGGCCAGCGCCTTCCCCAGCTGTGCGTCCGCGTTGATGGCCATGGTGCTATGCCTGCTGCTGCCGCCGCCCAGCTTAGGCACCCATCCCGCCGGCTGTCCCGTCTCTGCGCCTCGCTGCGCCGCGCTGCGCTGGCTTCCCCGACCTGGTGCTCTTTGCAAAGTTGGCGGGCGTCCCCGGGGCCTCTGAGCTCACGAGGAGGGGGGGGAGGAGGAGGAGGAGGAGGGGGAGGAGGAGACGGAGACTCCTCCTCCTTCTCCTCCTCCTCCTCTTCCTCCTTCCTCCCGCCTCCGCCAGCTGTCTGGCCGGCAGCTGGCTGCGGAGCGCTGTCGGCTGTCGGTGCCTGGAGGGCGCAGGAGGGAGGCAGGGACCCCCTCTCGCCAGGCGGGGCAAGGGGGGCGCTCTGGAGCGCCCCTTCCCGCAGCCCAATTTGAGCCAGGCTTTGCAGCAGGTTGCAGGCGAGGTCGCTCTCGGAGCAGAGCCCATTCCCAGAGGGACCCCGGTTCTCTCAACCCCCCCCCCCCGCCGCCTTCTTCGAAGGATGTCCACCGAAGTTTAATCCGTGGGGTCCTTGGTGCTCTCTGAGCTGGGTGGTTTTCTTGCAGACGTTTCGTGACCCGACTAGGGAACATCATCAGGGCTAGAAGGGAGGAGGAGGAGGAGGAGGAGGAGGAGGACTATGGGGGTACTTGGTGCTCTCTGAGCAGGGTGGTTTTCTTGCAGACGTTTCGTGACCTGACTAGGTAACATCATCAGGGCTAGAAGGGAGGAGGAGGAGGAGGAGGAGGAGGAGGAGGAGGAGGAGGAGGAGGGGGAGGAGGGGGAGGGGGAGGAGGAGGAGGAAGACTGTGGGGTCCTTGGTGCTCTCTGAGCTGGGTGGTTTTCTTGCAGATGTTTCATGACCCAACTAGGGAACATCATCAGTTCTAGGGGGGGGATTGTGGAGTGGAGGAGAAGGAAGAGAACAACAACAACAATAACAACAATAGCAGCAGCAGCAGCAATAATAATAATAATAATAATAATAATAATAATAATAATAATAATAATAAAGTTGGAAGGGACCTTGGAGGTCTTCTAGTCCAACCCCCTGCTCAGGCAGGAAACCCTATACCAGTGATGGCGAACCTTTTAGAGACCGAGTGCCCAAAAACTCGCCCTGCCCCTGCTCCACCACCTGCTCCGCCCCCACCCCACCTGCCCGCAGGGCCACTCACTGCCTCCAGGGCCTGCCGCAGATCGCCCAGGTAGCCCAGCAGCGCCATGGGAGCCACGCCCTCTGCCCGTGCCCTGCAGCATCAACTGTGCACGATGGGGCATGAGGGCAGAGTCTTGTCTACACTGCCTGGCTGCCATGTCCTTGGCTGCGCTGCTCTGTGTGGGCCACGCTTGGGTGTGACTCTCCTCCAGGGGGGCTGCTGGTGAGGAGGGGGTTGTGGGGGGAGGCGAGGCTGAGGCAATGGCACGTGTGCCCACACACGAGTGCCATAGGTTTGCCACCACTGCCCTATCCCATTTCAGACAAATGGCTGTCCAGTCTCTTCTTAAAAACCTCCAGTGTTGGAGCATTCACAGCTTCTGGAGGCAAGGAGTTCCACTGGTTAATTGTTCTCACTGTCAGGAAGTTTCTCCTTAGTTCTAGGTTGCTTCTCTCCTTGATTAGTTTCCACCCGTTGCTTTTTGTCCTGCCTTCGGGCGCTTTGGAGAACAGCTTGACTCCCTCTTCTTTGGGGCAGCCCCTGAGATACTGGAAGACTGCTATCCTGTCCCCCCTCGTCCTTCTCTTCGTTAAACTAGACAGACCCAATTCCAGCAACCGTTCCTTATATGCTTTTAGCCTCCAGTCCCCTGATCATCTTTGTTGCTCTTCTCTGCACTCTTTCTAGAGTCTCAACCTCTTTTTTAACATTGCAATGACCAAAACTGGATGCAGTATTCCAAGTGTGGCCTTACCAAGGCCTTGTAAAGTGCAGCATCCTGGGGTCATCTGATCCCCATTTGTGATCTTCCTGGCAGTTTTCCAAAAAGCAAAATCAACTGGGGGGGGGGAAAGCCAGGGGTACTTAATGACTGCATGGGTCACTTAATGACCTGGCACCAAAAAAAAAAAAAGCTCCTAAAATGCTTAATGACTGTATCACCTAGCGACGGATATTCTGATCCCAGTTCTAGTCATAAATCAAGGACTTCCTGTATCCCCATAAAGTCAGGGAAATATCATTAGAAGGAATTGCTTTGCTTGGCTGTCCCAAGAAAAGTAATAATTTTGATAAACTGCCTACCGTCACTGAATAAATAAAATAAAATAAAATAAAAAATCTTTCAGGTCATGATATGACAAAATTTCCCTAAATAACGTGCAATTCCGAGCAATTCCCTGGATAGAACTGTGCCATTTTCTTGATTTTTTTCTTCTTCTTCTCCTGTTACATTTTTTGACTTTCCGCTAGAATCTCCTGGTGGTCTCCTATCCACATAATAACCAGGCCCACTCCTGGTTATTCTTCCCAGCTCAGAGAAGTCAACCAGGTTGTGTCTCTAAGTGATGTTGGAAGTTTTTAAGAAGAGACTGGACAGCCATTTGTCTGAGGTTGTCTTAAGGTTTCCTGCCTGAGCAGGGGGTTGGACTAGATGACCTCTAAGGTCCCTTCCAACTTTATTATTATCATTATTATTATTTGAATCAATTGACTTTTGTTTCTTGGACGTTGGCTGGGAAGATCGCAAACACAATCGCGTGATCCTGGGAATGCTGCGGCCGTCATAAATACACGCCAGTTGCTGTGTGTCCGAATTTTGATCACGTGACCTTGGGGAGGCTGTGAAAGTCCCAATTCTTCTCTTAATGGAGACGTCCGGTTTTTCCACCCACAATACAGTGTAGTCCTCTACTTACGACTGTTTGTTTAGTGACCTTTGAAGTTACACCGGCACAGGGAAAAAAAAGTGACTTAGGATCGTTTCTCACACACTTATGACCGTTGCACCGTCCCCGTGGTCACGTGACCCAAATCCAGGCACTTGACTCGCATTTATGACAGAGGCGGTCTCCCGGCGACATGTGATCACTTTTTGTGAACTTCTGACCAGCCAAGTCCGTGGGGGAAGCCGGATTCACTTAACAACCGTCATGGCTAACTGAAAAATTGCAGTGACTCGCTTAACAATGGGTGGCGGGGAAAATTCAGAGCTTTTTAATTAGTTTTTCTTCTGGTGAGGAGCGCCCTCTTGTGGCACCTTTCGGAATCACCTCTGAGTCATCCAGCAGTAGAACAGAGAACACAGGTAAGTCCTCGGCTTACGACCGCAATGGAGCCCCCAAATTTCCCAGGGCGAAGCCAGATAGTCGTTAAGTGAGACTTGTCCCCCGTTTTACGACCTTCTTTGCCCCATCACCCTGGCATCCACAAGGCTTGCCTTCTCTCCAAGGAAACACAAAGGGTTGATTTTAACACTGGATTCTCCGTTAGTTTGTTTTTCGAACTCCTGGTAGTTCCCTGGCTTACGACTATTTGTTTAGCGACCATTCAGTGTGACAATGGCGCTTAAAAAAGTGAATGACGGCTTGGTCCTCACACTTACAAACCTCGTAGCATCCTCCACGGGTGCTTGGAAACTGCTCTAAAACCGGCCTGTGTTTACAACAGTTGTAGCATCCCAGGGTCACGTGATCACTATTTGTGATCTTCCTAGCTGGCTTCCAACAAACCAGTGGTTCTCAACCTTTTTAATGCCGTGACCCCCCCAACCGGTCGTAAGTCGAGGACTACTCAACTCGTGCAGCACCGTTTGCGGAATGGGACTTTTGGCGGGCTCAGCAGGGCAGAGACAGCCTGGACAATTCCTATTGGCTTTGGAAAGCCAATAGAATTAGACTCTATTCAAGAGGGTCTATTCTATTGGCTTTCAAAAGCCAATAGAATAAAAGGAAGTAGCAGAGCTAAGGAAAAGGGGGGGAAAATGGCGGACAGCCTTGTTTGGCGACCCCCGTGAAATGGTCGTTCGACCCCAAATGGGGTCCCAACCCACAGGTAGAGAACCACTGCAATAATCCGAATTAACACAGGAACCCCGATTCCCTTAACATCTTTACCTCAAGGAGCCCTGGTGGCGCAGTGGTTAGAGGGCCTTATTGCAGGCTGACTCTGCCCACTGCCGGAGGTTCGATCTGACCGACTCAAGGTTGACTCAGCCTTCCGGCCTTCTGAGGTCGGTAAAAGGAGGACCCAGATTGTTGGGGGGGGGGGCAACAGGCTGATTCTGTAAACTGCTCAGAGAGGGTTGTAAAAGGCCTTATGGAGCTGTGTATACGTTTAAGTGCTGTTGCTTGGGAAGAAAGGAAGGAAGGAAGGAAGGAAGGAAGGAAGGAAGGAAGGAAGGAAGGAAGGAAGGAAGGAAGGAAGGAAGGAAGGTGGATGGATAAAAGAGAGAGAAAGAGAGGGATGGGAGGAAGGAGGATGGGATGATGGGGAAGGAAGGAAGGAAGGAGGGAAGACAAAAAGGAAGGGAAACAAGAAGGAAGCAAGCCATGGTGGCACAGTGGTTAGAATGCAGCATTGCAGGCTGACTCTGCCCACAGCCAGGAAGTTCGATCCTGACCCGCTCCAGGTTGACTCAGCCTTCCGTCCTTCCGAGGTCGGTAAAACGAGGACCCAGGTTGTTGGGGGCAAATAGGCTGACTCTGTAAACTACTGTAAAGCACTGTGAAATGGTAGATAAATCTAAGTGCTATTGCTTGGAAAGGAAGGATGGAAAAAAGACGAGAAGGAAGGAAGGAAGGAAGGAAGGAAGGAAGGAAGGAAGGAAGGAAGGAAGGAAGGAAGGAAGGAAGGAAGGAAGACAACAAGGGAGGAAGGAAGGAAGGAAGGAAGGAAGGAAGGAAGGAAGGAAGGAAGGAAGGAAGGAAGATGAGAAGGAAGGAAGGGAAACAAAAAGAAGGAAGAAGGCCATGGTGGCGCAGTGATTAGAATCCAGCATTGCAGGCTGACTCTGCCCACAGCCAGGAAGTTCGATCCTGACCAGCTCCAGGTTGACTCAGCCTTCCGTCCTTCCGAGGTCGGTAAAACGAGGACCCAGATTGTTGGGGGCAAATAGGCTGACTCTGTAAACTACTGTAAAACACCATGAAATGGTAGATAAATCTAAGTGCTATTGCTTGGAAAGGAAGGATGGAAAAAAGACGAGA